TTGTGAGAGAGAAATAAAAGAATGGGCGGAAAAATCCACTTTTTAGGGACTTTTTTTTTAGTATCCTTTATAATGTATAGGTTTAAACATGTTTGACACATCGAATTAGATTAAATTCGATAGGATTATTTTCTGGTCAACAGATAATTTGTCAGGTTCAATTTTACCACCAAACATGAGATTCAGACTATTTATCCCTCTCTCAATCCCTATCCGAATTGTCGAACACATCCTAATGACTAGGGCTGTTCATAAGTTGGGTTGGTGCATGGTAGGATTTTTTCTTGTCCCGCCCTAAAGAGTACGGGTTGCACAACATCAAACATGAAACAAAATAGTTCATCAAACAGCAAACATATAAAACAAACATAAATTAGTCTACACTCATAAATTAGTCTTAACATAAAGCAAACATAGAAGCTTAATTCAAACATGAAGAAACTAAAGAGTAGAAATGAGTTGCATGCCCAGCGTTAGATATTAGAGGAAGTAAGTTAGAACGCAGGTTGGGTTGGGGTGTGCGGACAATTATAGGTACAACCCACACTCCGTCCTAAAATTTCAAGTCAGACATTGAATGGGCCAAAAAAAAAATTTAATACTAAAAATAAAAATAATAGAAAATAAGTCAATATGAAAAGCTTAAGAAAGTATATAAGCCAATTTTAAGTTATAGAAATTAATAGGCCATAACTTATCAAGTTATGGTTCATAACCAGATAAGTTATGAAAAAACTTGTCAGGTTATGGTTCATAACCAGACAAGTTATGGACAAAAATCGTGAATAACTTGTCAAGTTATGGTTCATAATCAGACAAATTATGGATGAAAATAGTAATTTGGCCTATTTATTAACTTATGTAAACTATTGGCCTATTAATTTTAATTCATCTTAAGTCTTAGCCTATTTTTTTCTTTTTTTCTACTAAAAATTATATTTTTCAAGTTAAATTAGAATAGAATGAGTTGAACCTGCGAATTTTACGAGTTTATAAACAGCCCTACTAATGACCGGTTTTGAAAACATCGTTATTTATTATTTTATTTTTATAACGTTAAGAACCGTCTTTAAAAGTGACTTACTCTGGCGTATATCTATTTTCGTAAGATGCAATTTCGAGAGGGGAAAAGATGGTCATAAAAAATAAGCAACTTTTGGTACAAAAGATTAAAGAAGCCAGTCTTGTTTTTGTACGACTATAACTATATATTCACTTGGTCGACATAAATAACAACGTGGTTTAGGTGAGCAAAAGGATAATATAGTAATTTTGTCTGACTATAAGAGGTCCTTACTTATTCGATGAGATCTAGCTAGGCAGCACATTTGCTTAATTATAAGTGCAGAGAAATCAGTGAAAAAAGACAATGGAGGATATCAAGGAAATTAAGACAGTTGGTGGTGGTTGAAAAGGAGTTGAAGCTTTTAGGAGAAAACCATGTTGTCTGGTTTGAATTAGGGTTTAGGAGACAGCCCATAATCTATGTATTATAGAAAGTAATTATAAGAAAGTTGGGATTGGGATTAGAAAGAAGTCTATTCAAGGGCTAATTATTACAATGGGCAACTTTTTGTTATAATATGCAAATAATACAATGATAACAAGCCAGAAATCACTTTTGGCAACATACATTAATTGACTAATTATATTTGTAATAACTTTTTATTATACAACTCACTTCATGTTTAAGATTCCAATCTATTCATAGATCATAAAAGCAAAATTTTGCACAAAAAGGTGAGTTTCCTCCGTATTTTTCATCCATATTAGTAGTGAAATGCCAACTTGTTAAAGTTATATTATATAAGACACAAAAATGTGATCCACGCCAAACTTTCAAATCAATATGGATCAAAGTTTCAAATCCCAATTATAATTTTCCATTAATTATTTTACCCGCATAAACTCCATTTATTGGTTAGTTGTTTTTCTTTTAAGTCAAATCACTGCCAGTTCGTTTGCAGGAATGTTAGTTGTTTTATAGTGAGTTTTATTTATTTTTAACATTTTTGCGTAACGGGATATCAGGTGAAAATGAAAAAAAAAAAACCCCCCATATCATTAGATGCATACGAGTAACAAATCACATATTATTTATTCTAACATTTTTCCTTCAAATACAAGTCAATGCTTTGTCCCTTAAAAAAAAGGTTAACGACACCTATAGATCAATTACTAATTAACTGAAACTTATGGCCCTTGAGAAATTAAAATTTTATGTAATTTATTAAATATTATATATGGAAGTTATAACATCATCTTCTTATTATATATATACACACACACACACATATTAACTTAAGAAGGACAGAATTAGAGGGTTGTACAGAAAACCGGTTCAAATGAATTAATCGATTGCAGTACCAAGGCAATTGACAAGAAAGTTGAACTGAGCGTTTTTTTAATGATCAGGTTTTACATACTAAATTTGAATTAAACCTAACAAATCACAAACTCTCTCCTTAGTCTCTAAGAGACCATTTATTTCACGCGTTTGAACTAATAATTTAGATTATGCTATAATATTTTTCTCTAACAAAAAAATTGAATAAAAAAAATTCTCACAAATGGTTCTCTCATCAAAATTTGAATTCAAATCAAAATCACTGCTTTAAGCGATGAACCAAACAAGCCATTTCGTTTAGTTGTCGGGTTGTTTGGTTGGGAGATTTGTACCCCGATTCGAATCATGGTTCATGATTCGCTACAGTATTTTCTCTCATAAAAAATACATGTAAATAAAAAATGGTTATAATCTCATGATTCTAATCAATGAATTGTTATAAACTTGTGAAATACTTGAGAGAGGAAAAACAAAATCAACCATTTATGTTGCACTTCGAGTTTCAAAACTGATCGAGAAAACCAAATCCAGTCATCCTTTTATGGTCAAGTTTTTAGTTCGTTTCCGCACTAGTGCCAATGAATTTCGGTCTCAAATGGATGAAAGCTGGTAATTTGGTTCGACTACAAACGCACAAAAAATTGATTAAAGCAAAAAAGTTTAGCCTTAAACAAAATTATTTAAGAAGTGCATAAAAATGAAAAGAGAAATGAATTAAGAGTTCTGATTTTCTCTTTAAATTTTGTGGTTAATCCTTGTGTCTGGACCCTTGCGCAGAGCGAGTCAAGTAAGCAATCTCTTGTTGGCCTAGGTTGTAAGGCTAGGGAAAAACCCCATGAATGCATTTTTATTTTTTATTTTTATCGTAGCAGGGATCAAGCTTTACTACAAGAAAGTTATGTAAAAGCTTGTTTGTATGCTTAATAGAGACTTTATATTTACTAATTTTATACAAAATTTATCACGCACCTCAAGTATGTGACATGTTTTACAACTTTCTTTAAAATATAATAATATTCTATATAATGGTTGCAAAGTATAGTCTAGCATAATTTTGTAACCTATCTCCATTATAAGAAGCGGTGTCGTTTGTTTCGTTAATTTGAGTTGAGAACTTAAGTTGAAAAATTAATTTACGTGAGAGAAAATATTATAGTACAAAATGTTGAATTTAAATTTTGTGAGAGAAGACGCTGTAACAAAAACTTAAATTGTAATTCGAATAAAGTAAATTGTAATTCGTCCGTTTGCATAAACTTTACCTTGATTTCTTAAGTTTCATTCGTATAAGAACTTTAATGAAATTAATTTATGTTGCCTTCATTAGTTTAAGTTTGCCTTTCTTTCAATAAAAAAAAGCTTTCCGTTTATTGTAAAATATAAAAATAATAGTTTTCCTTTATTTCCTTTTCTCCCCTTATAGGGTCACAACTGATTTTAGCAGGAAAAAAGAGTTTTAAACTTTATACCTCTTTTTTAAGATCAAAGCATTCTTATGTATGAGTTTTATATTAAAATTTTCTATTTAAATTTATGATTTTAACATGTGCAATGCCAAAACAAAATTTCCACCACAAATTTTACCACTCTTCTAAACACTATTCATTAGAAAGGAAAATTCATCTAAACACCGCATAAAAAGAATTTTTGTGGTCCAATATCTCTATAAGTTGTACTACTAGTACCATTTCTAAACACGCACCACCAAAACAATTTTCACCACAAAAGCTCATAATCTTATCAGCATTATTCATTTAAAAAGAAAATTTTCTAACTATTGCATAACATGGACTTTTGTGGTAAGATATCGTTATCAATAGTACATATTTCTAAACGTCAAATCACTTAATAATTTTATGAATTATCAGAATTAAATAATTGTAAATTTGATCGATTCAAAGCGCTAAAAAAATCAAGAGTTAAAAAAGTAGTCTCTGAAAATTAAATTTCTGGAGAACCATCTCTAAAATTCAAATTCTAAAAAAAAAAAAAATCCCTCTAAAAATTCAAAAGATTTTCAAACAACAAAAAAGTTATAAAAATTAAAAAGAGAATGCACACGTGTGGTTTGGAAATTTGGAAATAATGACCCATGGTCACGAGGACAACACGTGCGACTTCACCGCGATTCAATGCACAGTCACGAACAGTACACACAGAAACTCCCAAAGTCCCAACCAAAAAGCAAAACGGCGCCGATTCCGCCATAATACGGCGCCGTTTGGGTCATCAACGTGTCACCCACGTGCCGTTAAATTCAAGATTTGGGGTAGGTTTCGTTCGTAACTCGCCAAAGGAGAAAAAGACAGATGCCACGTGGCAAATCCAGGTGACTTTACCCAAATCCCCCTTTTTTTTTTTTTTTTTTTTTTTTTTTTTTTTTTTTTTTTTTTTATTGTTACGGCAATATATTGATGAGGAAACGGTGACGTCTTGATCATTTTAATTTATTTGGTGTTTTTCCCAAACCCCCCTTTTTTTTTTTTTTTTTTTTTTTTTTTTCTTCTTTCTCTCAAGACGTTATTGTTACGGCAATATATTGATGAGGAAACGGTGACGTCTTGATCATTTTAATTTATTTCATTTCATTTCATTTATTACTCGTAAATTTCTGCTCTTCCCTCTCACTCTTCTTCGTCTTTCTCTCTGAAAAACTTCCATTTTTTCTCTCTCTAAAAAACTCTCAACCGTTTCTCTCTCCTTCTGTTACTTTCCATACAGCTTAGGGTTTCTTTTCCTTTACTTCAAGATCTCTCTGGTAAGTTTTCTCTTCCTTAAATTCTTCAAATCGCGCATTTAAATAATGCCTTTGTTTTCTCGGTTTTGTGTTTTTCTCTCTATAGATTTTGTATTTTCTCTCGTTTTTTTGTTGTTGTGTGATTTGCAATGCCGATTCGGTGATTCTCCGAATTTTTTTTCTGCGTGTTTGGTTTCCTGGAAAATTTTGGAAAATGGCGGAGAATATATGTATCAGCATCCTGTTTCGGATGTTGGATGTGGAAAATTCATTGTTGACCATTTCAAAATCACGCGCTTGGCTCAATTTGGTGGAGGTTTCTGTTATTTCGATTCCGTATGAGAGAGAAATTGTTGTTCTTGTTTCAATTTCTCTTATTTTGATGTGTTTTATTGGAATTGGAACGGAGAACTGAGGAATCAATTTTAGTGATTTGTGATTCCGGTGGTCTTGGAGTTTTGATATTAAGCAAGCTCGTCTCTCAAAATCTCTCATATTTTTAATTTAATTTATTCTTTTTTTAAATCTCAGGTACTAAAATTAGAAAGTTTGATTTATTTCCTTTTGGCTTTTCAACTTATTTTGTCGGTTAGAGATGGAAAAAAAATGAAGATAATGACCCTTTTTGTCTCCTGTTTTGTTTTCTTTTTCTTTTCTAACGCAGAAAAGTTGGTGAGTTCATCACATTTGTGATGAAGATTTAAAGGGATCGATGATTTAATGGTGGATAGAATCGATGGTTGCATTTCTATACCTGGTTCTACCCTGATTGATGAGAGAGATGATGACTATGAGCGAGGCTAAAGTGGACTGCATATGATGATCTGATTTTTAAATGAATCATCTAGTCGTTTTTATTTGTTTTTTTCCGTGGATAAATGCGCCTTTTTATGCATTTTATACGTATGGGTTGAATTGAAAAGCTGAATTTTGTTGCTGCTTTTGAGGTGCGTTTAGAAGATGGCTATTGCTGGTCTACACAATGTTTCTGTGCTGGAATCGTCCTTCCTTAGGGACTCTCAAGCTCAACCTCCTCAGCAAATAAGTGAGGAAGGGACGAGGGTAAGCACCCGGGCATCCTCGATTCTCCAAATGTGGAGAGAGCTGGAGGATGAACATGTGGTGAGTCGTGGGCACGGGAGAGTGAGGGAGAGGGAGAGGTTGTTCCAACCAAGGGATGACGGTTCTATTGCCGACTTCTCAAGGTCAGACACTTTCGGAAGCCGTGCGAGCGAACGTAGTGGTGATTCGGAGGATGCAAGTGTGGGTGAGCATGACTGCAGCGTGTGGTCTGAAGGTCAAACTGGATCACAGAATGATCCTGATGTTTTCAGTACTTATAACAGTGAGAATTCTTCTGATTTTGGTGAGGTTGAGAGGGGCAGGGTGAGACAAATTTTCCGAGAATGGATGGCTAGTGGTGGAGGGGAGTGTACATCTAATATTTCTCATAACAACAACAGTTCAAGAGCAGAGTGGCATGGTGAAACTGAACAGGAGAGGGCAAGAGTTATGAGGGAGTGGGTACAAATAAACAGTCAGCGGAGAGGTACCTGTGGTGGCGGTAGAGAAAATCAACCTGCCGAATTTGGTAGTCAAGTTGAACAAGTTCGGGATGGACCACTTAACCAGAATGAAGGTCAGAATCAACTTCTCCGGAGGGGAATCCGTAGATTGTGTGGTAGGCAGGCTCTGCTTGATATGGTAAAGAGGGCCGAAATGGAAAGAAAACTGGAACTTCAAGGATTGATGGAGTACAGAGCCGTAACGAATTTCCCTCATCGCAACCGCATTCAGGTCTCTTGCTAAAACTTTTGTTATGTTTGGACTACTAGTTCATCATCGTCTCTTGTATTATTTCTATTTATCTATCTTCAAGACTTCAAGTAAAATCTTAAGTGAGTTTTTGGCCTCATGAATTGTGTTTTCTGTATCTTACTGTCGTATTTGTAAGCTTTTTGTGAGCTAGTGTTTGTGTATAGCATTGGTACACATTAGGGAGTGGACATTCAAGGATTTAAAGCAGTTTTTGTAGCCTCAATAAGTCCGCAGAGACGCGTATTTTACCTGATATAAGAAATAACGATGCTTAAGGTGACACTTGTTGACACATCATGATTACACAAGTCAAACACAACATTTTTCTGTGTGGCACAACACAAAATTGACCTCTAAAGATTCTCTGAGTACATGCTTGTCGACTACAGATTCATTTTTTTTTTTTAACATTTCAAATGAATTAGGGGTAAAAAAAAAGGGCAAGATTAACAAGTTGGTTTCATTTAATAGAAAAACTATAAACAAATCTTCCAGGAAAAGGAAGAATTTTTTTTTTTTTTTTAACATTTCAAATGAATTAGGTGTAAAATAAAAGTGCAAGATTAACAAGTTGGTTTCATTTAATAGAAAAACTATAAACAAATCTTCCAGGAAAAGGAAGAATGAAAGAAACTATCTATTAGATCCATTATATTCGTTGTGTTATACCAATCTAAATGACATATTCTTAAACTGGCATACTGCTAACCCAAACACAACTTGTTGAATAAATGGGTCCACTCGGATATGACCTGTGGGTGCATATTGCTACCCTTTAATAGTATTACAATCTGTAATGTTATTCTTGTGCATAGTTTGTGTGTGCTGTGTTTTGTGGAAATCTACAACTTTGATGTTTGCTTTGAATCCTGGAAAAGCCCTTTTCAACATTATTAATCATTAAAGAGCTACGCTTTTCTTTTTTCCAGTCATTACTTAGAGGTTGGTTCCTGCGACATGGAAGATCAGTTGAAAATAAGAAACCATCTTCTGTGGCTGAAAGTGAATTGGGTTTATTGAGGCAAAGAAGTACAGTCTCTGGTCTGAGGTATTCTTTTTGTTTTTCCCATATCAAAAATATTTTTGCTATCTATTGGTAATTCATGTTTGACAACATTTATATTATCCTTCGAGGTTTCTTCCAATTTTTACCTAGCTTATTTATGCATCATTGTTGCCTTGGAATTCCATGGCTTAAGTTTCAATTTATGTTATTTTTTTAATAATTTTTTAAGGCATAAGATAAATGGTATTAGAAATGTTCAATAGAATACAAGGCCCTTCATTTCTTCTGGATTTACTTGCCAACATTCTTTTTCCTGTAGCAATGTTTGTGATGTTTTGCAATCAATGAGGTTGACTATGAGAAGAAATTAACATAAAAAAGGTCCTGGTGATAAGATCAACGTGTAATATTTTTAGAAAGCAAACTCGTGGAGCTGGTGTCTTACACCGGGCCAACTTTCCTTCTCATGCTGACTTTTGATTGGGTGATCCTGGTATGACTAGAGAGCACATTTTGATAAATGTTTTCTGGCAAAGAAAAAAAGAGTGCACATTTTGACTTCAGTTAATGATCCTCCCAAATCTCTCTCTTTTTTTGGGCAATTAAATTTGTTGCGGGAAGGCATGTTTCTTAAGAACTCTCTTGGTTCTCTTTTATGACATCAGACTCTGTCGCAGTGTTTTAGGGACTTTTCACTATGCCACAGATTTATCAAACAAGGAGAAGCTTTAGGAGTTATTCTTGACAAGGAAACTTTGTTTATCCTGACAATCTTTTGAAGGATTATAAGTTTATGATATGATTATTGGGTACTTCAAGATGGCTAGAACCTTTTTCTGGAGCCCATCATCACCTGTATGCTATATTGTTTTCATCTTTACATCGTAACCAATTTTCCCAACTAACTTTCTGCATTTTGGTCTTTTGCAACTTGCAGCGTTCTATTTGTTTAGGCATTATAATAAATTTTCATTTATATTTATGGGTAGTCTCATCATTTTCTTTGATTCAATGCCTTTTTGACTAACATGTTGGAAGCATTTCTTTAATGTAGGGAAGGATTTTTCTCCAGATGTAATTCTGTTTGTGGTCAAGCAAGCAGCAGCCTCTCTGATACATGCAAAGATGACAATAATTCAAATGGAGATGAACAAGCACAAGGAAACAACTCATATGAGGTCATAAATGATTTTTGTGAACAGTCAGAACTTAGTTCTGAAGGAAGTGATGACCAAGAACATGACAGCCACAGGATATCTGATGCTAGGGTTGAGTCAGGTGACAATGCTGTTGAAGACATAGATTCACGAGAATCTAATGTTCATGTAGTAGAAGGATGGCGGGAACAAGTCCCAGATAATGTTGTAAGAGACTGGCAACGGTCAACCAGTGTTGAATTTGTCGAAAGAAGAGATAGAGGCGAACAAAACTTTGACACAGACTTGCAGGAAAACACGGACTCAAACTCACAGGATAATACTGCTAACGAATGGGCCCGAAATACCTTGCAAGTTAGCGCTGGGGAACGTACGAGGGATATACAAGAAGCTGGTGACATAGCCAATCATCAATCGGAGCCAAGTAGGGAGCCAAATGAGTTCCCTGGTTTATCTGGTGTTATGCATAATTCTGAAGGCAACACAGACACTGTTGATGATGTAAACAGGCCAGAATCTACTTCTGAAAACGAGGAGAGAGACTGGGAACCAGATGTTGCTGAATTCACTGAATGGAGAGAAAGCCCTGTCGAAAATACGGTTGAAAATCAGCAACAAACTACTGAAGTTGGTTGGTCCATGGGAAATGAGGACAGGGAAAACAGTCAATTAGAAGAAGCTCCTGAGGAGTGGCATGGGGAAGGTGGTTTCCAAGAGGCTGTTCAAAGTTGGCTAGTAGGGCCATCTGATCATGAAGCTGTTCCAGCAGGGCGGGTTGATACATATTATTTTCCCGATGATGATAATGTTTATGGCATGGAACTCAGGGAACTATTAAGCAGGTATCAACTTCATCTGCATCTGGCTTCTGCTGTGACCCTTGTGGATGATTTTTTTTTTATACGTTGAACTTTTCTTAAATTGCAGAAGAAGAGTCTCTAATCTGCTCCACAGTGGCTTCCGTGAGAGTCTTGACCAATTAATACAATCCTATGTGGAGAGGCAAGGTCATGCTGCCATGGACTGGGAGCTGCATGGTTCACATTCCCCTGGATCTGTAGAGCAAGATCTGGAGCAGGCGAGTGCGAATCAGAGTGAAACTCAGGGGGATGACGTTGTCAGATCTTCTGTTGCTCTACCTTCTCAGCCATTACCTTCTCCCCCAATTTGGGAGCAAGAGTCACACCATGATAATTGGACACAGCATGACATGCATCAACGATTGGGAATTGTACGTATTACTTCTCTTTGATGTTTCCTGGAAATTGATTGCTGCGTGTTCGACATGTATTCACAGTGCAAGATGATTTAATGAAATGTCCTCGGGAACATATGAGTCCATTTCTTGGTAGTTAATTTTGATCCTGCTATTATATATCATACATGTGTTGGCTTGATGCTGAATTATTTTTCATGCGACATGCATCCACAAGAATCCCAGACTTCGTGCTTTAAAGTTGAGTCGCGACATTTATTGTGGTGCAGGAGTGGGAGATCATCAATGATATGAGGATCGACATGGCTAGGCTTCAACAAAGGATGAATAACTTACAGAGGATGATGGAAACCTGCATGGATATGCAACTTGAATTGCAACGCTCAATTAGACAAGAAGTCTCAGCTGCCCTAAACAGAACGTCTGGTTGCCAAGGTATGTGCATAAATCATTTAATGCAGTTGAATGTTTAGGATTAATTCTTTGCAACGTCCTTAAACTATTCCAAAAATTGGATTTGAATTCCTTTATTTTAAATTTGACAAAAATGCCCCTAAACTTTCAAAAAGTTACTTTTAGTCCCACACAGTTTTCTGCCTTTTTTTTCAAGTTATACCTCTAGTTCGTGTTTAATAGAGCAGACTGAAAACGAGAAATTCATATAGCCGACCCCAATTAATTTGGGATCAAGGCTTATATTTGTTGTTGTTGTTGTTGTATACCTCTCTATGCTCTTAAAAAAGTTGTATCATTAGTCATCAACATGTCCCCTTTTCTGTTAAAAGTTAGCGGAAAATGTCAGGGATTAGTATATTACTTATTGAAAGTTTAGGTAGCTAGAATAACACAACTTTTGGGAAGTTTAGGAACCAACCCAAGAATTCATCTTGAGATTTACTCTGGATTTGCCTCATCTATATTATTCTTTGATCATGGGCCGCGGTTGTCTTTGGAAAATTAAATATTTTGTTAGCAAATGTGGTCCTTTATTTTTCCCTTTTTCTTTGATTATGTGAGAACTGAGAACTTACTAGGGGTGTCCATATTCCATTGCTGCAGGGGTATGCGAGGTTGGCTTGCCGAGTGATGACTCGAAGTGGGATCATGTAAGAAAAGGGATTTGCTGTATATGTTGTGATAGCAATATTGATTCTTTACTGTACAGGTACGCCTCTAAACACAACTTGTGTACTTTGTGATGCACATTTTTTACGTGCGAACACGATGATGTACGGGTCGTGATCTTATTTGTTCGTATCTTGTGGTTGCAGATGTGGGCACATGTGCACGTGTGCAAAATGTGCCACTGAGTTGGTTGAGAGTAGAGGAAAGTGTCCAATGTGCCGAGCACCGGTAATTGAGGTGATCCGTGCATACTCTATACTATAATGAAAACGAAAATACTAAAAAGGAAAAAGGATATAAGGAGAAAAGTCTGATCATAACAGCATAGGCTTTACATAGTTTTGTGATTTGGGGTTCTGGTTTCAGATGTATAATGAGTGTATGGTTTTTAATAACAATGTTTTTCTTTTTCTTCGTTTCTTGACCCAATAAAAATACTGAGTGGAGAAAATGCCCCTATATATTATACATCATTACCCTCTGGAAGGAATTTACTTTATATATAAGTATCCCAAACTGAAAAGAGTAAAAAGGAAAAAAAAAAATTATATGCAAGTATTCAAAGGATGTAAGCATATAGCTGAATAGAAAAGGTCCAAACTCGTCTCAGCACAAATACAAGAACATGTGGAGAATATTAGAAGTGCAGAAATTAGCCAAATAAAGCTCATTTAAGCACTGCATAGAGGCACCATCTTAAATCGTCAATTCATTTGAAAATCCTAGAAATTATTATGATTTTTCTGTTGACTTTTTATCGGTTGGTGAGCTATCTGCTATTCTGTTCGCAAACATGCATCTGCACATCGCTGGCATCGAGATTGTTCCAGCTCAACGAAAATTCCTAAAACCTTTACTAGCTTTTTCTCAAACGAAGAGCGTATTCATATCTTCCACCTATGATTTTAACCAATCATAAATTTATGATATTTTTATAATGTCACAAATAATTATCGCTTCTTCTTCAAGCATTGGTAAAGAGAAAAGTTTGGACAGGGCCAAAAAAAAAAAAAAAAAAAAGGAAAAAGAAAAAAGGAAAGAAAAGCTTGGAGGAGGGCCTCACCTCTCGTCAGATTTGGTGAGGTATCTTTCTCTCTCTTTTTCTTTTTTCTTTTTTTTTTTTTTTAAAAGTGGTCTAGTATTTTCTTTTAGTATTAGTATTCTTAAATGAGGCTCATTTTTTTGTGAGGATCAAGCTATTCTTTAATTGCGAAACTGTAAAAGAAAAATGTGAATCCTATGGGTCTCATATTATAGATTCACTTTTAATTTTAATTAGGATGTGGTGCCGAGCACTATTGGCTTCTTATAACACTGTTTAAAAAGACCAAGTTAGTTTGAATCGAACATAATTATGAATAACATAATATATGAAATTAAGCTGAACCAATCATAAATTAATGCGTCATTTTTGAAATGTTAAAGCAGATCACTTCTTTCGACTTCAAGCATTCATGGAAGAAAGCTAAACTAAGAGGTATCATTAATCTAGTATTAAATTAGTTTGTTAATAGTAATCTTTTAGCATTTGGCCATGAATATAAAAGCCATCAATCATTCTTCGACGCAGTGCTAATTTTGGTTTTGAATTTGATGAGTGTTATACTTTAGTGTTAAATTTAACACCATTCCAAATATAACATTATTTCCACTTAATTGCTATTGATTAATGTAATAATTCAAATTATTTTACAATTTAAAACTCACTAATCACGTCAAATAGTACGTATAATATTTTAAAAATCACGAAAAATATCACTACAAAATAAATTAACATATAAGAATTGTCATTTCAATTTTGCAATGCTATATATCCGTCATATAACATTTACAGTCGAGATAGTCTAAATTCTTATCTCATTTGTCAAATGAGATGAGGTATGAGTTATTTTTTTTAACACAAAAATAAACAACACACATCATACATGAGATCTCAAAACCTTTCAAAAGAGCATCGGAAAGAACTGCTCACTAGCTAGCCGGACTAGTGAGGGCCTATCTAAAGACATACTGAAAACCATGCCTTTTAGTGAATTAGGTGCGTAATCAAGCTAATCTCATTCCTTAGGAGCTGGAGCGACCTCCTAATGAGAATTGAGGTCCTTGTGCGGGCGTCTCACCCCTAAGACTTACTTGCTCTGTATGGAGTGCCCCGTGGTTCCTCGAGTGCCAACCGCAGAGAGGTATAGCGCGAAGTGAGCTTGGTCGCTCTGAGTAGAAGTGCTCTCCTGCAGTCTAGATCTAGCTCATTCGCAGGAATGAACGAAGAAAAGGCGTTAAGATAATTCAACATCGCACACTTTCGTGTTCAGAACATTGTCCGAGTGAATAGGCAGCACCCCAAGCAAAACTTTCTTGAAGAGGCTGGGCTGGTTCTTTTTCGGTGCCCGCCTTTTATTTAGATGTTGGGTGGTTCATAAGTGAACACTAATAAATGATCTTACCTGAATAATTGTTGAGCAAAAGAAAATTTTATAAACGTTATATATTATAAGAAATATTAACATTATTTTTTCTGTCATTTTATTTGTGTTTGACAATCAACTATATTAATATAATATATTATTATTTAAATAAAACATAAGATAATAAAAAATTGATATCAAATAATAAAAATAAAAAGTGATAAAAAAAGTGACAACAAAAATGAAACTAACATTTTTCCGCATACGACAATTACAACTCACTCTTTCACCCGCTACTCGCTTTGTAAAAGTATAGAGTTGCTCTTTAATCATGATGTACGGACATTTTATGAGGGGACCCAAGATGTTCTTCAACTTTCTTTTCCCCTTTCATCTCCTCTACGACACGCTTCGGCGGCACACCGGACACCACACGTGCGACGAAAGCCACGTGTCGATACACACGGGATGGAACACGTGGCCGCAAAACGGCATCACCTTGACGTCGTCTCCCTCCCCAAACTCCCCAAGACAAACCGCACAGTCCTTGCTCATCCAGTGCGCCGCGCCTCCACCGTAGGACCTCACCGGCAGCGACCGAACAACATCGGTCGGGTCCGCCGCCTTGCACGCCGAAGCCGGAGAAGAAGACGAATTCTGGTGCCGGAAACAGAGGGCGAAGAAGCAGAAGAAGGCGGCGGATAAGAGGGCTGTGCAGAGGACGAGGATGACGAGAACAAGAGAGGAGTTCATGGAGACCGAGCTAGATGCTACCGGCGTTAATGGCGGCGGCGAATTGGCGGTGAGCGGTGCGTCGTCTCTAAGAATGAACAGCTTTCGGTTGGTGGGCTTCATTTTTTTTTTGTTTTCTTGCCGTATTTATCTGATTTATCAGTACTACTGAGGATTTCTTTTGTCTTAGTAGCCGAAGAAGCTGGTGAAGTGTGTAGAAGGGTTCAAACATGCGTCTTTTTTTTTATTTTTATTTTTAAATTTGTCCTTTTTGTTTTGCTTGAATATTTTATATAGGGTTATGGAAACTAACCAAACCGTTTCACTTATTTTAGATGAAGTGCAAACTAAATCAATTATAAATTAGCTTAGAGACTTCAAATCAAATAAAATCGATTGTAATTAATTTAGTTTGTGTAATTGGTTTGAATTTATATTTTATAACATCTTCTCAAGTCTTAATTATAACTCTAAACTTTAACTATAACTGATACTCATATTTTGTAATTAATTTACTTTAGAGAGAATCACAAAAGTAGATTGCGAAAAGAGTTTGAGGGCAGATCACAGAAACAACGTTAGTTTCGTTTATATAGGTTATGATACAAATTTTTAGGGTTGTGATCATTTAGTTTTGAAATAAAAGAAAATTTTTAAATATAAATAAGTTATTGATATATGAAATATATAGAATTTTAGACAAATTATATAGATAGAAATTGGTTTGGTTTGGATTAATTTTTTTTGAGATAAAATTACAAACCAAACTAATTTAATTGAATTTTTAAAAATTTAAACCAAACCAAATTAAACTGATTATTAATTAATTTAATTTGACTTTTTAGATTGATTTAGTTTGATTAGTTTGAATGGTTCGTCATACACCCTTAATTTTATCGGTAACTTACCAGTATTATCAAGCCAAAACGAATCAATTAATAATTGAACATATATAAAACCATCAGCATTTCATAGAAACGATAGTTCACTAAAAACGACTGTATCGAAAACGACGGTAAACCATTAAGTGGTAACAACAAAGAACCAGTTATTCAAAAAAAAAAAAAAAAAAAAACCAGAAAAGAAAAAAGCAACCTAAGTACCTTACCAGTAACCAGAACACCAACTCATGTGTTCTACAAAGAGTAGCTAGCTAAGGACGTCTTAATTAGCCTTCCTACTTGGCTGCGTGATCATTGGAGGACATGTAATTGGTGACGGCCTTAGAGCCCTCAGCAATGGCGTGCTTCCCAAGGTCCCCCGGCAAGACCAGCCGGACCGCCCCCTGAATCTCCCGCGACGACATCGTGGCCCGGCCCGAGTAGGCCGACAGCCGCGCCGCCTCCTCGGCGAGGCGCTCGAACATGTCGATCATCATGTTGTTGACCACAGTCATCGCCTTCGCTGAAATCGCCATCCCCGGGTGCACCTGCTTTAATACCTTATGCACATACCTCTTGTACTCCTCCCTTCCTGTCCCTCCCTGCACCTGTTAATAAATTGGTTGATCAGTCTCAAATTTTTAAATAAAAAAATATAATAAACTAATTTTTTTTTCTATTGATTCAGGAATAAAATCATAATTCATGATAGAAAACAATTACTAACAGTACGTACAATATGGAAAGAAAAAATATATGAAGATTTTATATTCGGATTAAAAAAACACCTATAAACGTATTAAACATAAAACTATATGTGAACAAAAACAATATAAATTCTTGCAACTTTAACTGATCTATTAAACAGATCTCTTAGTTATTTTCATTGAATTTGTTCTTATAAGTGTAACTACATTCATAAGTTAAAGGTACAATACAAAAAAAAAAAACATGAGAAATAACTGTTTTTTTTTTTAATTTAATAAGATCATAGTTTTTTATATTATAAAAATTAAAAAAAAATGGCGGGTCCATGTTATTACCTGATCCAATCTCGATTTGGACCTCCTCTTCCTCCTCTTCGTCGTCGCCTTCGCCTTCTTCTCCTTCGTCTCCTCCGTCTCGCCGTCGTCGCCGGCCTCAGTTTCTTCTTCTTCCGCCGCCGATTCGTACTTGGACGTCGTAGTAGTATTACTTTCCTTCTGTTTCTCCGTATCATGATGATCACGATCACCAGTAGTTGTAGTAGCAGCAGCACTTGGGGAAATAGTGGTTTCCTTGGGCGGCTCTTCTTGAACAGCTGCCGGTTTTGCTGGTGTCGTTTCTTGATCTTCTTTAGTAGTTTCTTTTTCATGATGAGCTTGAATATCAATATCTTCAACAGGAATAGTCCTGACTAAATGCTCTTCCTCTTGATCTTCTTCAACAGCTGTTGTAGTAGTAGTAGTAGTAGTAGTTGTGATATCTTCTAATAATTCTGCCTCCTTTTGGTTACTGTAATTTGTTTCAACCACAGCAACTTGAACTGTCTCTTTTACAACCTTCTTCTTCACCGATACCACCTTGCGTTTTGGAGCCATTTTTCCAATTCTTTACTTTCCCTCTTCAAGAAATTAACAATTGAACTAGAATATATATTATATAGTTATATATATATATATATATATTTTTTTTTTTTATAATTTATTATATATATAGTTACAGTTTTATATGGAGAGCTCAAGTAACCGATCTCTCTATGAATCGGTAACTCTTGATGGGGAAAGTTAAGGGAGTGACAAGTGGTGGACAGGTGTCAATAAAATTCTGAGCTCAAAGGCTACGTGGTTAAAAAGTAAATAAATTTGTAAGGAGAAGAGTTTTCCGGATGAAGAGTTTTAATTGCACTTTTATGTTAGCGATCCCTCCAGGTCTCTAGGAAATTGATCTTGTGCTTTTGGATTACTTTTGTTTTCAATTTGTTTAGAAATATATCTATATCAATATATCATATCATATATATAAATATTGGTAATATGCTGAGTGCTGTATTGTTGATTAGTATGAAAAGAATTACGCGTATTCTTCTCATTTGTGTTTACAGTTTTATTCCTTTTTGTCCTCGTATATGCTCATGGTTTTGTATCATTAATAAACATACTGTTAAAGCAAAGAAAATACAATAAAAAAAAAAAATTGTCACGTGGGAGGTTGGATAACTTCTTAGAAGAAGTGGTGCGTGGACAAAAATAAAATGTGTTAGTGGAGAGTTTAGTGAAAACTAACGTGGGGAAGTTTACAAAATTGTCATACATGAGTGGGGTAATCCTGAGAGATAAAAGCATTTAAATATTGTGAAAAAAGAGCCGATCAGAATAAAAGTGGAGTATTAAATAATGATTGACTAATAAAAAATAATAATAAATAAAGAAAAAAAAATAGTGGGTTTAGTTTAAACATCTTTATATAGGCATGGGAGGGCAGAACATTTTTTCCCACGTAGCAAACTTTGTGCAGAGAAAGTGACTGTATTGTAAGTAGTAAGAGAAGGTGTGAGATAATGTTTGAAGAGAGAATTGTCCAAAAAAAAAAAAAAAAGAAGGTAGAAAAATGTGTCCTTTACTCATCTACTTTCATCTCATTATGATGTTTTGTACACTAAATTGTCTACACGTTTTCTCTCAAGCCTACTCACCAAAGTACCATCTCAAGACTAGAAGTTCATCTGTCATTGCTAGTTAGATTCATGTTTTAAGACATACAGGCTAAAAATTTTTGAACCCAGTCAAAAAAAATTATGAGATTGTAAGTTTTAGAACGTTTAAAAAAAATTAAAATAGAGTTGTAAATTTTAAAACTCTACAAAATTATGGCGTTGCAAAATTGAGAACCTTCAAAAAAAATCAAAATTGAGTTGTAAGTTTTAGAATTCTATAAAATTGTGAGGTTGCAAGAATTAAAACATCTAAAAAAAGGTCTGATCGTTATGATGCAGTTAAAAAAAAATATACATGTGTCTAGATATGTATGTATGTAATGGATCTGACTATAATAATACAGTTTAAAATATTGTTACAATTTTGGGTATGACTTACAAAGTGCAGCCTGAAACAAAAAATTAGTGATACAGAAGGGTGTCTTCGTTTCCTGAAAAAAAGTAAAAAAAAAAAAAAAAATCAGTCAAAGGACTAAAACAAAAAATGACCAATGATGAAAGGCTAAATAAAAAAATTACCTTTTGTTTAGCAACGTGTAAAAGACTGCCTCTCCTTTTGTTCCTTTTTCGCTGAAAATAATCACTTTTTTTTTTTTTTTGCTTGGAATAAGAAGATGACTATGTATGTAAACGAAACACAAAATGTAGAATGCAATTAAAATTTTGTCAGAATAAATTGACGATTTGATAAAAAAAAGAGAGAAGAAGACTGACCGATGGTGAAAAAAAAGAAACCAAAAGCAAATATATACTTTTAAAGAAGCCAAATAAACAATTTGACTGATGGCTCTACACGCAAACTGAGGGATGATGACAATTGATGTTGCAGACCAAAGTTTTGATAGAGGCCTAGACTTTCTTCCATTCACCTACACACACACATATATATATATATAAATATCTTTGGTGACCTTTTGAAATCCAATCAAATCTGAAAAATATGTGTATCATATATATGTTAAGATGTGATTATTTTTTTAAAAAATTACAAAAAAAAATCTAAAATTAAAATTCGCCCTAAAAATTTAAAGAGGTCATTCACCTCAGATAAAAAAATCACAAAATTTCACTTTAAATTTCAAAATTCAAGAATTACAAAGACTTGATTCCATTTTGGATACGTAAATAACCTAGATACAAAATCTAGGTGCAGTCACAATTTGTAAATTCAAATTAAATTCCACATTGGAATTACCCAAACTTAAATCTCAAGTCAAAATTCTAAAATCCCTTTAATTCCTCATACGGTCATATATCGAGGAATTATTCAAATCCAAATTTAAAATTACAACAAATTCTAAACTAGATTCAACATAGGAATTATCCAAATTCAAATCTTAAATTAAATTTCAAAAAGGCCTTTTAATTCCTCATACGGTCATATACCGAGGAATTATCTAAATTTCAAAACTAAAGTCAAATTTTTAAAATTCTTTTAATTCCTCATATGGTCATACACCTAGGAATTATCCAAATACAAATTCCAAATTATCTAAACACAAATTCCAATTCTGAATTCGAACTACAAGTGGCTTGATCCCTCGACGGGGTGTGTAGGCAACTCGACAAAATTTATTGAGTTCAACCACAATTTTAAATCAACTAAAATTTCTCAAATTCACAAGAAAATAGAAGTTACTGTTTCAATTAGAATCAAAAGGTTTTTCTTTGTACCAATAGATTGTAATTAAGAGATTATTTTTATAATCTTGAATGGGTCGAACTAAAAAATAATAAATTACTATATTAATTAAATCCTAATATAAATAAAATTATATTGTGTGTGAAATATTATTTTAATATTAATAAATATTTTTACTCAACACATACAGTTTTCTAGTCAAGCAGAAACATAGAAAACTTATATAATTAACAAATATAAAGGACGGGGTTCTTTCAAGCATACTGGCCAACATCAGTTATTAATATCCACCACTTCCTCAGGAGTAGAATTTAACTGAAGGCCAGATTAGTATCTTGAACTTAAAAAAGAAAGATAAGAGAAGAGAAGAGATGATTAAAAAAAAAAAAAAAAAAAAAAAGCCTTTTATACAAGCTTAAAGCTCAAAGAGACATTTGGCAAACAGTCTAATAAGCTCATCAATTACTTACCACTTAAGTCATGGCGTAGTAGTAAACTAAGGACCCCTTTTGTGTTGAAATTATTCAAATTTAAATATAAGAAGAAGCTAGTAGCTTGATAACAAAAGTCCCACATTGATGATTTATGAAGTGGAGTTAAACTTTATAACCTATCACATAAGATATTAAGCTGATGCGCGTGGCATGGATAATGAGGTTGTAGAGATGTTTAAGTGACACGCATAAAGAGAGTACTATTTAAAATAATATTCATTTTTAATTTTAATTTTAAAGGGATAAATTTTATAAATTTTTTATGAATTTTATCACTTGTGTCAGCATGCTTCTGAACTTTAAAATTTACATATTTTGTCTTTTGAATTTTGTCACATATGTCAATATGTCTTCTAACACTAACTCTGTTAAGTTTTTTAACGAAAATGTTTATAAACGCTCTTTAAACTTCGTCATTTGTGTTAATATGCCCCACATACTTTAAAATATACATGTTTTACCTCCTAAATGATGATATGTCTCCAATTTTTCTCCCTCTACCTTAATTCTATTTGTTTTTTGAACAGAAATGTTGATATGACTATTAAATTGTTAATTATATATGATATTTGAGGTTTATTGAATACTTTCTCTTTTAAAAATCTTAGTTAAACACTAATTCTCAAAACATTAATTGATTAGAGGCAATAAAAAGGAAAAAAATGAGGAGCAAATTTGTGTAATTTATGTCGTAGTAGTAGTAATAATAATAATAACGACGATGATGATATTAAAAGAACTTCCTTTCTAGGATGATAAGTAAACTCTTCTCCCTCTGCCATTCTTGTTTGCTAAGCTCCTTTTTTTTTTCTTTTAAATTAAATGTAGCTCTCGTGTGTACTGTACTTAAATGCTGCAAATTGTAGTATGCCATCTAAAAAGGCTCGGGGGGTAGTGTAAGGCATATATATATATATATATATATATATATATATATATATATATATATATTGATAGGGACCTGTTGATTCTTTCGATTTCTCTTCCGTTCTGTTGTTGAATTTGATAGAAAGAACGTAGAATTCTATCACATTTTCCTAGTGTAAACTTTGTCACAGGGATATTGAGATTGTATTGTTTGTCTCTTATGGAACCCCACATGAAATTTCTTACTTCAGTCTGCAACTTGGTTCTACATTCTGAGTCAAAACTAACTTTTTTTTTTGTTTACCTTTTTTGGGCATGAGTTCTTATTGTTTTGCTCTATAATCAATGACCCACTCAAGAAATCCCATATGCCCTGTACTTTTCTTCAGTTTAGAAGCAAAAAGTTTAAAGATCGCATTGTTTTTTCCTTGCCTCCTTGAGGGAATGGAATTAATAGGCAAGAAGGAATGCAGCAACAGAAATTTGCCAAATACACAAACTAAACTAGACGCCCTTCTGATAACCTTCTCAAACTTGCTCAAGAATCAAAGAATGACACTTCGAATTGCCCCGCGTTGTTCTCACAGGGATCAGCATGGGGAGCTTCTACCAGTTTTGGAGCGAGCGGGTTCTGAAGGACCGACCTCAGTACAGTTACAAAAATGGCCAACCTCTCTGGAAAATCCATTTTGTCCAGCCCTAAAACGTATCTCAAGTCTCAACTACTGCCAACTCCCTTATTTCCATAATTGGCTTTCTTGCGGGAAGATATTTATAGCGGAGTCTAAGAATTAATATTAGAGTCACAACCAGCAAGACTTTTCAGGACGTCGTGCTTTTCTTTTTCTTATGTTCGCTTTGTTTGGTCACAAAAGTACCGATATTTTTTTTTTAAATCAATCCAATCCACTATTGATAGTGGAGTATGAGAATTAATACTCAATCCACTATTGACTTGAGTTTATACAGATAAAACCAACCAGACTTTTCAGGATTTGGTGCATCTCTTTTATTCTAGGATGAGATGTATCATCAGAATGAAATTGGAAAGCTTGTTCATTGACCTCAATCCAACTGCAACCAGGAGTTTTGTAAGCATTCCTATCCTTCAACATCTTCCTAACCTTCCTAACTTCTTCCCAATCCCCCAATTCTCCATATATGTTGGCCAACATACTGGCATAACCGCCATTCTGTGGATCAATTTCCATTAGTTTGTGTAATGCAAACTCTGCTAAATCCGTGCGGTGATGAATTTTGCATCCGTTTAGCAGAGACCCCCAAATGGCTTCGTCGGGTTCCATTTCCATTCTGTTGATGACATTCATGGCTTCTTCGAACCTGCCTGCTCGACCGAATAGGTCTATCAAGCAGCCGTAGTGTTGAATCTCTGGCTTGATCTCGTACCCCTTAGTCATCAAATGGAAATAAGCAATGCCTTCCTCAACCAACCCTCCATGAGTACATGCGTTAAACAAGCCGATGAAAGTTATCTCGTCGGGTCTTACGTCATTTTCTGATGCTATCATCTCCTCGAAAACGCTGATTGCGTTCTTGCTTTCCCCGTGAAGTGCATAACAGTTGATCATGGAATTCCAAGAAGTCAACTCTTTTTGCAAGGTCATATCAAAAACCCGCCTCGCTTCTTTCAAGCTGCCACATTTCCCGTACATATCCACCAGCGCGTTGGAGATAAATGAGTCCGGCACCAGCCCATTTCGACAAGCGTAGCCATGTATCCACTTACCAAGCTGCAGCATACCGCTATGCCCGCAAGCCGAAAGCGCGGACGCAACCGTGACATGATTCGGCCTAACACGTCCGTTTTCCCGCAAAAAACAATCCATCAATCTTTTAAACAGCGAAATCGCCAGCGAGAACATCCCGTTCTGTGCACACCCCGCGATTATCGCATTCCATGACGGCACGTCCCTGCCCCGGTCCGGCATACTCTCAAACAAAACCACAGCATTGTCCACATCTCCAATTCTAATGTACCTAGAGACCATAGCAGTCCAAGTAACAACAGTTCTCTCACGCATTTCATCGAACACCTTCCGAGCATTTCCAACGCCAAGAGACGACCTCGCGTAGGAATCAACAAGCGCCGTTTGGATAACCGTGTTTTCGTCGAAACCGGTTTTGACCACGTGGGCATGCACGGATCCCCACGCACGAGGCTCCATAACTTCGGGAGCGGATTTCAAGACTTGGGGATAAACAAACTGATTGGGACGAGAACAATAACAAGAAAAGGTATTTCCATGGCGGAGCATTTGGCGGAAGAGCTCGAGAGAAGAGCGGAAGTAGGCTGTGATCATGGCGTCGAAGACATGAACATTGGGGGAGGAGATGTAGTTGAAGATGAGGCGGGCGTAGGGGAGATTGAAGAGAGTTTTGGCGGCGAAGCGGAGGAGTTTGAAGGCGCAGAGTTGGGTTTGGGAGTGGCCGAGAGTGATGGACAAAGCTTGGAGCTGCTTTAGGTGGTTGAAGTTGTTGCATTGCGACAGTTTTTCTAAGAAGACGAGTTGTTGTTTTTGGTCTTCTGTAATTTTGTGGGGACACAGCATTGTATTCTCAACTCTGTTATTCTCTTTCCTACCAGTCAGAACTCAAAGAAGATTAAGGTTTTATTTTTTATTTTTTATTTTTTTTATTTCTAGTAAAAATAAGACTTGAGAAATGGTCAATATAAATTGAGAACTGTAATTTGAGAGTGAAACTTATTTCATTTGTACATAAAATAATGCTACAAATTGTTTGCCAAATATTAGATATCAAGTAATATGGAAAATTAATTTGTTAAAAATGAAAATGAATGCATATTTTATTTAAAGAACATATTTAGTATATCGTATAAACACTCTGTATTGTATTATTTAAGAATAATACAAAGTGAAATTGGGTTTAGGAGCAATTCTCTGCATCTTCAGCATCTTCACAGTGATGGCAGGTACACTTGTCAAAGATTAGGATCATTGAATCCATTTAGCATATAATATCACCGAGACATTATTTGATAATGAAACTCGATATCATTTTTCTTTAAAGAACAACATTTTATCTCAAAGTACTCTTGGCCTTGTCAATGAGGTTATAGTCTTCGATGGACTCTTGGTATATGAGTCCAAGTATTCCCGCTGCAATGTCTACCTTGATGAATTGGAGTTGTCTATATCCTCCAAGACTCTGGAACCAATCTCTGAGAATGCCAGTGAATCTGGAGGCAAACTCTTTGAGGACAGCTTGTAGTTCTGCTCCAGGTTTTGTCATCTGCAAAGCACCATCATCACAACAAGACACACAGGGTCAACAAGATTATGACCCAGCATTGTTCTAAGATTCTCAGGACCCAGACTATAACTCATCACCCAACAAAAGACAAAGACAATGGTATCCACATGAACATTCATATGAGCGTGGTTCAACGAACTCTGACTCATTAGACTACAGCTCCCACTACAACGGGTCCCCTTAGTTGGAAAGGAAGCGCCAAGCTGTTCTTCTTATACAAAGGTCATAAGATCTTATCTAGATATCTTATCTTGTAAAAAGTCTATTTATCCTTTATGTGTTTAGTCAAAAGCCTAATAGTATGTCTGCCACTTTGTCAAAAGTGGTTATGTCTTTTGTTTAAAATAGTCAAAAGTGGAACAGTATGTGATCCACTTTGTCAAGTCATTTTGTCCTCATCAGACTACAACTCCCACTACAACTAGCCCCTTAGCTGAGAAGGAAGCGCCCAACTGTTCTTCTTGTACAAAGGTCATAAGATCTTATCCAGAGATCTTATCTTGTAAAAAGTCTATTTGTCCTTTGTGTGTTTAGTCAAAAGCCTAATAGTATGTCTGCCACTTTGTCAAAAGTGGTTATGTCTTTTGTTTAAAATAGTCAAAAGTGGAACAATATGCGATCCACTTTGTCAAAAGTCATTTTGTCCTTTGTGAAATAAATCTAAAGTTATACAGTGTAAATCTTATCCTGTCGGATAAGATTAGAGTCGTGTGTAATGAGCCTCAACATTATATAAGGCGAGGCATTTCTCTTGGTTTGGCAGAAGTCCTCCAACTAAGAGAACTTTGTAAAGAGTTTGCTCAGTAATAAAAGAATGAGTTTCTAAATCCCCCTTTCTTCCTCTCTGAAATTCTAAAGTCTCTTCCTTATATCATAACTGTTCTCCTCCTAACTAGTACCAACTTTCATCCGGTTTGAAGATGGACAGGTGAAAAACTGTCTTTAAACTCCCCGATGAAAGTTCCAGCACAACTCCGTCCACGATGATCAGACTAGTCACTACAGAAGAAGAAATCCATGTTGCTTACTTTGCAGCATATGGGTCTAAGATCTTCACAGACTCGATGGTCATTTCATGTGGGATACTGATCCCTCTATGTGAAGCACTCTGGTTTAGATTGAGAAAGGGTTTTGGTAGCTTGTTCACACACAACAAACGCACACACCGAGTATGCGACAAATATAATTTAAAGTGTATGAGTTTAAATTTTTCTTATCTCTTATACTTGATTAATATCATTTTTAGTTAAATAACTATATTAATTAAAAAGGTACTAATAAAAAATAAATGGTAAAAATTAAGACCAATACACTATCTAATTTAGCAATTTTTTTTTAAACAAAAAAACTATGTGGCCACCTAAGTGGATCTTACTAAGTGTGATCCACTGCGTGGGGCCCATTATTAATGCAATATATTGAAGTGATCATCTAGCAGATTGCCATTGACACTAGCAAGGATCATTTTAGACAAAACACTTGTATTGATCTTTGATCATCTCTTATAAAGTGATTGAAAATTCAAACCCTCTTATTTGAGTGACAACTCATAACACGCCTTATTCATGTGGCACTCCTCAAGTCCTCTCAAATCGCTTATCACACTCCGGCTCCTTATCATAATAGACCGAAAAGAATGGAGCAAATTAAATGACATGCCACAAACTCCATATGAGTTCGGATTTATTTATGCCACAACTAATTTGGCGTTAGAACATCAATGATTATAGTGGATTTTTGGGAGTGGCAGAATTCCAAATTACCAGAGTTACATAAATCATAGCATACTTGCTTCTCATGGCATTCGTCAAGTTTTCACCCAAATTTGATGTCCCCATTTTCCCGTCTCGGTGGCTGTCTCTCTACTAATTATTTACCATGTCATCTAAATTTGAAATTTGGCTACATAAATAAGAACAAAATACTAAAAATACTTGAGCAATTCACGAAGTGTCAAAATTTAATTAGAGAGATAGCCACCAAGACAAGAAAGTAATACTGTAGATATTGCTCAATTGATCTTTTGCATAAAATAAGCAATGTGACAGAATTTTGTATTGCATCATATTTTTTGCATGCAGGATCTCAAACATTATGTTCATTCTATAAGAATCGAATAATATTGCATTCGGTTATGTATACATACATACATACATGTATGTATGTATTATGTATTGAAAGAATATTAGATATTTGATGTCAAAGAAAGGCATTCACAGCCAAGCTTACAAACAAACCTAATAAAGCCCCTGCTACGACTTCAACCTCTGTGTGGCCAATGGATTCTTTTAAAGGAGAATATTTACTTCTTTCTAACCCTTCATTGGCTTCAGCTGTCTTGATGCCAGAAGGAATCTGCTTCGAAGCCTTCTTATCCGACTGCGATACCAAAAGGGAATTTCTTGATTTCGATGAAAAGGAGCCCGACTCATCTGACAAGTAGTTTAAGGGCGAGGATTTCCCTGGTTGAGAATTGAAACTGTCTATGTTCTCTGCGGGACTGGAGTTCACTCGTGACTTTTCTTTCAGAGCTTTGTTCAGAGTTCTTGCATGGATTCCTACTTCTCTTCTAACACCCTGTAAGCGAACACACTCAGTTTGCAAGTTCAGTTTAGACCATCTAACCAATAAAATAATGGTACAAGTGGAAGAGTATATACCGAAACATAACTTTGTATAATGAAAATGAAGTGAAAAACTAGTTGTATCATCAAACATTTACGGTTTCTCACTTGGCCAGGTGTAGGAGAATCTACCAAAACATAGCTTCCTACCATGAAACTGAAGTGAAAAACTAGATGTATCACTAATGATTTCTAGAGCACAAGACCAAATAAATATTGTAAGAAAAACTCCAATAAATTAATGAGTGTGATAGGATGTGGCTATTTGAAACTCTTCTGCGGTCTCTTGAAAATTTAAACTTCAACCTTACAAGAGTAGCTTGAAAATTGATACGTATCATGACCATCTGACAGAAGATCTAGAGAGGAGAAAGCAACCCCAAACAAAGCCATAATAGGAGAAAACAACACCATGTTGTTCCCAAGTTCGAAAGCATCGATAGAAGAAGGTGTGAATTGTATTATCACATGATGAACTTGCGCACATAAGAACTTCAAATACAATGGAATATTTGAAATGAAGAATATGTAAAATTATACATATGTTATAGCTCATCCTAAGTATCACTTATTTATAAATAGAGTACAATTTTACTTTGACCAATCATATATTTTGTCCAAAAAGTGCCCATAGAATTAAGGGATACTATAAAAGAATTATGACTTAAACTTGAAAATATGCCTATGCATGTGAGATATTGAACATAAAGATACTATTTCATAAAGAAAAATACGATGTTAAGGACACAAGATGATTTGATGTAAGCACGCCTCTTCAACTAAATCAATGGCCATGGAGAAATTCAACTACTAGTCCGAATGAAGAAAAAACCCACATCTAGGTTGTACTTCTATGTATGCCCCTAAATGCAATAGCTTGAAATTGAAATATGGACTTAATTGATGAAAACATAATGAGATTTCATATTTCTCCCCTCTTGAGTTCTTGTTCTCCCTCTAGAATTCTCTTATTCTCTTCTTCCCTTATCACTGATGTCTCTTGGTTCTATTTCACTATCTTAATTCTATCTCATCCCTCCCTTCGGTTTACATGAGAATGTCCATAGAAGTAGAAATAAAAACCAATATCCTCCACACTCTGCAACCTACAGATAAAGTTTAAGCAGTTAAAATACTTCAACCATCAGTTTTCACGTGTTCTATGGTTTACAAGTTATCCCGCTGGTGGAGATTAAGATATGTTTCATTTTTATTATTTAGATTTGAATTTAAGATTATATTTATGTGCGCATTAGGACTATTTAGGATGTATATAAATTTATTTTTTTTATTATGTTTCATTCCTCTATAAATAGGTTAGTGGTTTTCAAAAAAGATCTGGTTGATGAGTGAATATTGAGATTTCAGGGTTTCTCCTTCCGTCTCAAGAATTATCTCTTTGCTCTTCCTTAACCGATCCAATATCTAGCGGTTTTATAATATCTATTTCTCTGTCTCAATTCTATCTCTTCTCTTGATCCTACATCACACGCATTACCATCGACGTAAATGTTATACAATCATACCTGAGCATCGTACATAATAAGGCCGGCATAAACAACTGTGACACCAAATATCGCATCCGAAAATCCCCTGCAGATGAGCAATGCAGTTGTCTCAAACATCAGTTCCCAACTTTGATTTGTAGTCAGGTTCAAGGATTCAGCTACACACAAAAGAAATAAATGTATCGAAGATTTATAGAGAAGCGCGTGAATAATGCTTACCTTTCAAGACCAAGGCATGTCGCAGCAGCCACAACTGCCTATCCATGGCAAATGCATTCAACACTTTGTCAGATCATGATTCAATAACCTTGTAAATCCGGCCAAAAAAACAACACACATGAAATGAAAATAAACACCTAGTCTTGGTCCAGAAAAAAACTCGGCCAGATAATTTCTGTATATTGGAATCAGGTTATGTAAAATATGAGTATTTTTGTACTTCTAAAAACTAGAGGGATCTAATTTTGGATAAAAAAAGGAGAGAATTCTATGACGCGTGTATTTTGTATGTGTACATATATTCACTGGTTAATACAATATTACAAGGACCCTGTAATGTAGATTAATGACAAAGAAAGAATGACATGAAGTCTATTTTTTTTCCCAGTTTGTTGGAGGGAAAGTGTTCATTGTCCATAAAATTAAAAGAATTTTTATCACCATACCCCTAAACTTCTTGTGATTTGGCGCTTTTGTACTGAAAATTCTTTCCTACACAATTTTCCTTGAATTTACAAATAGTAACAATTAACTAATCACTAAGGTCTTGTTTATTTCACCGATTCGAGTTTTCAGTTTTAAATTTCTACAATAAAAAACTCTCAAAAAAAACTCTTAAAAAATGTCACATCTCAGCTCGAATTGAAAACTCAAATCAAACTCAAATCCGGAAAGTAAATGAGGCCTAAAATTTCAACCGCAAGCGAGGTTAATCACTAATAAACTTCTAAAAAATAGAAGGAAAAGTTCAAAAAAAAAAAATGAAATGATCAAATAAGGAAAAACAAAGAAGAAGATAAGGGGCGGCATACAGAGGAATGAGTGGAAGGGAAGCCACCAGCCTGAAAAGCGACCTTAAAATCAAAGTCTTTCCCATAAAGAATTACATTACTCAATGGCTTACTTAACTGCCCTATTGCCCCAGAAACACCCGCAGCTACCAAAACCTGACACACATATATATATAACATATGTATATATTACACAAAAACAACACAAAAAAAATCATCAATTTTTGCAACAAATTAAGCAAGATATAACATTATATTATGATATATATATATATATATAGAAGAACAGACGTTGACCTTGTTATGGAGAAGTTGGACTAGTATTTCGTCAGATAACTGAGCTCTACTCATGCCTATTCTTCTTCTTCTTCTGCTGCTGCTGCTGCTGAAAATCGGTACTTGTTTTCTAGAATTTACGAATCCCCAGCAACAATAATTCTGAGAAGCGCTGGGTAATGAAATACTGGTGCTCTGTCCATGATTTAGCTGTAGCCACATCATGATGATATCTCTCTCTCTCTCCCTCTCTCGCTAAGGTCTTATATGTTATGAGACAGTGATACGACATCTGGAGGATGCCAAATGGGGAGGTTTGTTGCCCCAACCAAAAAACAACACTGCGTATAGAAACCACAAGAGGACAAACCTTCCGGGGGAATTGATAAGTAACTAATAACCCCCCTGACCCGACCCGAAAGGATTTTTTTTTTCTAAAAATTCAGATTCAAATAGTCTCAATTTGCACTGTGCAGGTTGGGGGTGGGGCAGGCATTTTAAACCTGTTTTGTCCTGAACTGACCTGATTTAGGTATGTAATTTTAAATTTCTAAATTTATTTTACTGGACTATCTCTATATAGACTGTTTATTTGACGTATTGTTAATTTTATTTCTGAACTTTATTGATTGTTAAGAAGTATGTTTGATGTTATGTTAATGCTTATAGACTGTTTATGGATTTTATGCTTTTGGATTATTAAAAGAGGTATGAAGTCATAGATTAAAATTAATTTTCACTAACTCGAGTAACCTGAGCCTACCCGAGATCACCCGACAGGTTGCGGGTTTGTGAGCTTAAGAGAGTGTTGTGGTTTAAAATTTTCTCAACCCGCACTGAGCGAGTCGGCTTAATCTTTCAACTTAACCCGTCCCTACCCGGTCGAATTACACCCCTAATTATCACAAAAACAATTTCCTAGTAAGCAATGACTCCGTGAAATTGTACCCAAATTGTTTTTGTACTTGATCAATGAATTACATTTTTGTTTCTTTCTAAAGTAATTAAATAATAAAAAAGGAGAAGATTTAACGTGATTTAGAGCCGTCAAAACGGGCCAAGCTTGATGGGCCGACATACACACGGCAACATAGTGTAGCACGATTTTTTAATGGACTTAGCCTATCTTCTTTATTAAATAGATTGGGCTTGACATAATTTTTGAGCATGAAATACCATTAGCATGTTAAAAATACGATAGGGACCTAATTAATGAATATAAAGTATAAAACTAATTTTATTATGTATTTTTTTTATAAGACTTATAATTGTACTCTATTTTTTTTACTAAGATTTTTTTATTAGCGTTGCTTGGTAAAGTCTTTAAGTCCTCAATTTTCTTTAATTAATTATGTCCTTCCTCTTTTTTAAGATTTTAATGCTTTCATTAGGTTTAATACTTATTTTCTTATATTTATTATAAATTTGCTATTTAAGAAGAAAAATGCACATTAAAAACATGATAAAAACAAGACAAAAATATTGGCACGAGTATGGGCATGAGCACGGCCCACAAATAAATAGGTCGTGGGCCAGATTGACGTCATACAAATTAAATAGGATAGACAGAACTTCTCGCGATAAATGAACGGGCCGAAGTACGACATGAGGTCAGGCCGATACAATTAACATCTTTAATGTGGTTTGATAAAATGCCTACAATAACAAATTAAGAAAAAGAAGAATGTTCACTGACAAAAAGCACTATGAATAGGCTACATATGAATGAATATCACAAAGCACATAATCATATTATTCGTTCAAGACTAAAATTAAGAGATTTCCTAATAATAAAATAAATACAAATAAATTCATTATATTATTAATACAGGTACTTTCCTAAATATGTCCCCGTAAGATCCAATCTTGGAAGCAATTTTTTATTTGATTTTATGAGAAAATAAAGACATAAAAAAAGTTGTATAGGGATAACAATCATCAAGGACGCACAAGCCATATGGAAGTAGTGGAGGCACACGATTTAGTGGACGTTTGGTTTATAGATTCAGAATCATTCTCAATTTACGTGCATTTTTAATAAGAGAAAATACTGTAAATAATAACGAATTATAATTCAAATCATGACACGAATTCTCATACCAAACTACCCATTAGAGATTGGAGGTGCACGACCTAAGGATTGAATGTGCTACGGCCGGGAGGTGTAGAGGCGCATGACCTTTTGAGAGAGGCACCAAATCCAAGATAATTTTTACGCTATATTGAAAGGAGAAGATAAGAAAGACGTCGGCCTGAAGAATCAAGAACTTGCGGGAGTACGAACTTTTGATGCAACAACAACAAATACCAGCAAAAAAAAAATAAAAAATAAAAAATACTTATATCCCGTTAATATAATAATATTACATCCCAAATATTCGTTCAGATATAATCAAAACATCAATATTTAGAAACAATTCAAGCGTGTACATTCTTTTAAAATAAAGATTTTGAACGAAAAAATTACTATAAGATAAAATAACTTAGTAAAAATTCAAATTATTGTCATTAATTATGGGAGAGTGCGTAATATGGATCACTCTCTATTTTGTATAGGATTGATTATACATCAAGGAGTATTACCTTTTTCTACCTTGTGTGATACGTTTGCTAAACATATACATGTTCCGTTTTTTATTTTATCAAATGATACTTTTGAATTAAATTTAATGTATAAATTCATATATTTTTCTCAATCACCACAAGATTTTGACCACAAAAAATCCCAAAGTACACTCAATTGAAAAAAATTTAACAGAAAATCTAAAACAACGAAAAAGCAAAAGATTAGTTTTTTTTTTTTTTAGTCACTTTATAAATAGGAAAATAATATAACAAAAAGATGAATAAATTTAAACCAACTGCTTCAGCAAATAAAATAAATCTAACTAATGGAGTCTTCATCTTTTCTCTTTGTTAGTGCTTCTACAAAATAGCAAAGGAATGAAACTGAATCAAGTTTTTCAAATTCAAAAGTTATGTTAATAGTTTTGTAAAAGCAGTTCTTTGCGGTAGAGCATTATATTAGTGTTTTGTAACGGTTAAATATGTACAGATTCATATTAAAAATTTATAACGCGCCACACAAAACTGTTATCATTGCACATTTGACCGCTAAAAAATTAATCTAACAGGAAAAATACAATTTCTACCAATAGAGTAAAATAGCTTCGTCCACCGTAAAGACTCCCCTTGATAATAAATTAAAACTATTTCATGTAATTATCTTTTTTGAATGCAAATAATACTAATACATAGATGAGTGAAAGTGACACACAATAAAGTACGTAGCACAAGAATTTCCCAGCAACCATATCCCTGGGGACCTTATATCAATGATATTTCACGACTGTAATAAACTAGGTATTTGATCAAAAGAAATTTTAACAGTAAATGAGATTAGATTATTATCATTATATATCATTTAATTTTTATTTTTAATAGGTAATCATTATAAAAATATAACTATTAAAAATTCGTGACTAGATTTAATTATTTCATGCAATCTGATCGGATAAATGGATTGGATTATAGATTGATCCCTAATTCATACAATCTGATTCGTGAACACTCTTATTTTTTATGTATGCTCGAACCAATTAAATCATACAACATCATCTCATGATTAGCATAAAATAATTAGTTAAAATATAATTTAAACTTTTTACATGACGTGACAAGATTTAACTAATTAGATACCAATTAAGATACTAAACTTAGACATCATATTTAAGTCCTACGCTAACATCTATTTGGCCACAAGTTTTGTATGGCGAGATATTGTCACGTGCATGCGACACATTTGTCAGAAGAGAGACACGACTTCATCTAGTTATGGGAGAGATCAATAAAGTCAAGAGTAGAGAGAGCTTTTAACTCTGGACATAAACAGCTACAAGATTGTTCATTAAAATACTTCCCACCAAACTCAACTACCGAATTCGTTCAGAAACGTTTTCGGATCTACTTATTCAGAAAAAAGGGGTCAGACCACAATAATATTTCTTCACAACTCTTATGGGCTTCCCATTCTTCACTATAAATTAGGTTTCAAAGATAGCCATAGATACGATTTCCCTGTGAGCTTGACACTTATTCATACAAGTTTGCAAGTAAATATACTTCACCATAAGATAATATGTCCAACATATTCTTCCACTACACACAAAACGATCATTTAATACAATACTTTTTGAGGCCAGAAATGTGAGTTATCATATATTCTTCCCAATCAATGCAAGCAGGATCAAAGTTAAATGCCTCCATTATTTCCATGTTGTAAATGTCCTTTGCTTTTGTTCGCAGCCTCTCTGAGTTTTTGTCGTCAAAGCTACATATTTCACAGATATAAATTAATAAATACCAGAATAGTGAGAAAAAAAATGAGGAAATTAAGGGAAAAAACATTTTTTTTTTTAAAAAAAAGGTTTACTTACACGCCTTTGAACAGCAAATATGGTTTGTAAAGCATTACCAAACGCATTACTGTATGGATTTTACGCTTGTTGCGAGTATACGCGTCTTGCAGAAAATAATGGCAAGATGCTAAATTAACCAATTGCAATATCTGCATTTTAAAAAAAAAAAATCATGAAGTCGCAAAATTAATATAGGGCATAATAGATTAGTTTCTTGCTTAATTAAGATCATGAAATAGTTTTTTTTTTTTTTGGTAACTCATTCCTTGTGTAGACAATATGGCGGCACACAAACCAACTTTGTTTGAGAAGAAAGGAAAGCCTAGCTTGGTTTGCTTTTCTTTCTTGAATTTTTTTTTAAGAGGAAATGTATTGGGTAAGTACGTGTAGAAACACACAAAACACAAAAACTACCCACCAATATGCATTCTCTGAAAGGGAATAAAAAAAGAAAAAGAAAAATCGTACATGTACAAATAAACAATCAAAAGGGAGAGAAAAAGAATTAAACAATAAAAAACAAATTAACTAAATAACCATGCTTCCAAACTAAACTAGTACAGAACAAACCTTCAAAGGTAGGATGGCTCTAATCCCCATGTGCATTCGGAAACGAGCCATGTTCTTGAGGAATCTAATCTTCGCAACTCTTATGGGCTTCCCATTCTTGTTCATCAAAGGGTTTTCGATAAAGTGTCGGGTGCTCATTTTGTGTAACTGATCAAGGTGCATTGGATTTCTTAGTGAGGATCCCACGTGGTAAATTGTATTTGTGCCTGCAGAGGTTTGGTTTGACTGCGCGTGAGCCACAATGGCCACAACTATTGCATTTACCACCATGTCCGCTGGTATCTGCATAACAATATTGAAAAAAAAAAACATGACTTTTAAACTAGACAAATCAATATTTATATTTAACAAATATTGGTTAATAACAATATTGAAATTACAGCTAGGCTATCCTGTAATTAAAGGAAAAACCACAATGATATCACATGTGCTTGTTGACACATTTTTATGTGTTGGATGCATATATGTATACATATATATATATATATATATATATGTATAAATATCTGTAGTAGATATGTGTGAAGTTTTACTTCTTACCAAGTCTAGTATCAACGAAGGACTGCCCAGGAAGCTTGTCACTTTACCTTTGCCATAGCCAACGATTACACTATCAACGGTTCTATACTCGTTGATTTTTTTTTTTTGAAATTAAAAAAAAAAAGAAAAAGAAAAGAGAAAGTAAGAGAGTTATCCGGAAATATAAAGAGAAAAATAAAATAAGGGAGAATGGAGGAAATAACATCTTTAGTCTGGGTAAATATTATAACAGATGCAGGATATAATTAGTCGTTGACAAATTAACTAAATAAGCAGCTGTAAAACTAAGCTAAAAATAAAATTCATTTACCACAGTATGATACGGTACAATCATATGTATCTGAACTAAGAAGTAAATCGATGAATTATGTTGTATAGCAATCTTATATGAACAGGTGTGCCATATACTTTTGATACTATTTACTTCATGAAAATTATGTTTTAATATTTTATTTGTAAGAAATTACATGCGTAAATTAAATATCCGAGACAACTTAATTAATTACCTCACACCTTCAATCCAACCTGGAAAGGGATCCTTGTAAGTGCTTGTAATCATTGTGGGCCGTATGATGACAATGGAGAGATTATCTTGATCAGATTGTTGTAAACACATTTCTCCCATTGCCTTTGTGAAGACATAGGTATTCGGCCATCCAAATAGCTTTGCTCTGTTAATTAGTTAAACGTTTGTGTTTTCAAGGAAAGTATAAATCATAAATATCAAAGCATAAATACCAACTAAAATTATTTTTTAATTAAAAGAGTTATTAGTACTGTTACTATAAAGCGGTAAGTTTGGACTGAATTAAACGGGTCGATCTAAGACCTATCACTGTTAGTCCGATCCCAACCCGACTCATTTAAGTGTTCAAGTCGGAACCCCAAATGTCCGGGCCGAGGTACTTTTGAGCTCGGATGCTGGCCGGCCCCGAACAACCTTTTTTAATTTTTATTTTTATAAAAATACCTTATAAAGTATAGGTCCAGGCTGACCCTCTCCACTTTAGGGCCGGTCTGGCCTAGCCCGGTGAAAATATGGACATGACCAAGGCGGCTTGAAATTCCCAATTGGGCCGCCGAGTCTGGGGCCGGCGGCTTTAAATTGTTACTCTCTAAACTTTGAGCATAGTGACATTTTGAACCTTAAACCTCCAATTTGAAGAAATGATCACTCAATGGATAGATTATCTTTGTTAAATTATAAAAACTCACTTGTCAATTTTATTTTCACGGACGAAAAAAGTTAAAAAATAAAAATTTAAAGATTAATAAGTTAAATTAAAAATTTAGAGACTAAAATATCAGTACGCTTAAAAATCAGAGGCTAATTATCCTAATTACCCTTTTGGCTTAAAACTTATGGAGTATTTTTAAGTTGGTACGAAAAAAAATACTCTACTAGTGTTAACATCAGAATCATTATCACAAACCTCTTCATGCCAAAATCCTTCAAGGTGGCTGTAATTGTCTCTTCCGAAGCTTCTCTTCCTCTCAGTTCTTGTAATTCTTTGGCCACTAGTTTCTCTTCTACTTTGTAATCAAGTTTGTAATTTGTTTTCTTCAATGTCTCTCCAAAGTGAAATGCTTTTTCTTGTATGAGTCCCTCCCTTTCGCCGCAGACATAAGCTAGAAGAGAAATTACATATTTCATTAATTCAGTACCTTAATTATGAGGAGAAACAATTAGGAATTAAGGGAATTAATATATAATATATGGTTCTTTTAATATAATTAATGGTAATTCATGACAAAAGATTGGACTTGCCTGTTGACAAATGAAGAAAGATCTTTAGCTTCTTACATTTCTTTGCAAAGTTTAAAATATGAAGAACGCCCGTCGTATTAATGCCCAGGGAAACATCATATCTGTCAAATTTTATCTCTCCAAGGAAGAACATTAGCATACCAACTAAATATTTTATTTTAAAAGACTGGTTATTGACAGTTTTTCCATATAACTCTTTTGATTTTTTTTTTCTTCGGCTTTATATTTTTGACTCATCAGGCCCTAAAGCTGCATTTACGGTTTAATAGAAGTTTAAAAAAAAAAAAAAAGACGCATTTTTGCGTTCGTTACCCCCCAAAAGTTTTTTGTCTTTTGGTAAATTTTCATCTCGTTTTTTAATTTTGACAATTAACTCTCTATACTTGTTAAACCATTGCAATGTGGTCCAAACAAATAACGATGTTTGGATTAGTGATGAAAGAATTTTAAATGGGTTTAAAAAGAATCCCTACTAAGTTGGGACCATTTTTTACCTCATCGCGCACCAAATCCCCCACTACATGATACCATAAAAATAAAGAAAAACGATTAAGAGTAAAATATACAAAAAGCTAAAAGGCACAATAAAATAAGCAAAGACAAAAGCAGAAACCAAATAAAATGAAAAGAAGAAAGAAAAAAGAAAACAGCCGATCGAGTGATCTACCATCTCGGTTAGATTAAACTTTAAAATAATTAATAGTACAGAAATCCGATGAAATTATGAATCAAAATATTAATTAAGTATATATTTTGCCAACAATCTTCGTACTAATTAAAGCGAATAGTGCATGAATAGGAGTACCTTTCATCAAAATTTGTCGTTGCAGCAGAATTGACAATAACATCTATGCTTTCAAACATCTCTTGGCTCAACTTCAAGTCTTTAATTCCCAAGTCCTCATCATTTGCTACGTCTCCTGGGACCGCTACTACTTTTTCCCATATAAACGACTCAAAATCTTTGCCAAAATTTCTCCTCAGAACGCTAAATAACTCTTTTCCTATGACCTAGTAAATACCAAAAACAAACGCATCAAACACAAAGTCATCAATTTTGAAATAATTTATTGGACTCTCTCGCGCAACTTTTCCTGCTTAAGCGCTAGGTTTCTTAATTATTAATATTTTACACGTAATTCAGTAACTATTCAATAACTCTTTTTGGAATTTTGTTTTCATCATTTTTATTTTTATTTTCTGTATATCGTATCTTTTAGACAATATATCTATTGTAATTTTTGTCTTTCCATTCTCTTAAAACTTTCAAGTGTCTACAACTAGCAACCGACCATCTACTTGGTTATTTTCACGCATAGTGTGATCACTCTCTAAACTAGCGCCACTAAAGAGCAAATTTTTTGTTAGATTAAAAAGCATAGATGTGGCAAAGAAGTAAAATACTATTAAAAGGGTATTCTTGTATTTTTACTATGTCTCTTCATTTGAAAAATACGCGAGGGATGAAACTGAAATATATTTCTTAAATTGTTTCTAAAATTATAAGAACGATATATATGCAATAATTAAAACTAGGAGCGAGGTATATTTATGTAACTAATCATGTTGTTGTATAATTCTTTTTTCTCCGAGGTTTGTTTGTGTGGAGTTTATGGTCAAAACTTCAGAAGACAAAGTAGCTAGATACGTAAAATATTGGCACTTCTTAATATGAATGCATAATATTGACATGTTGACATGTATATTTGTATGTAAAAGGGTAAACTTTATTTGCAAGTAAACCTCGTCATGAATGCGTTTTCTTGCTGAGTTGCTATCTGGAGCTCTTAAAAGAAGATAGAGCTTCTTCACTTCCGGCTCAACTCTCAGTAATTTTTCCACTAAAACTACATACACAAAAAAAGAAATAATATCATCATCACATATAATGCATCTGTCATATATGTATATGGATGTAAATATATATATATATATATGTATGATGTATGTACACATGACACTACAGATCATGATGTGGATATTCGGAAGTTTACTTTTTGCAAGAAACCCAGTGGCTCCGGTGACTAAAATGGTCTTTTTCTCAAAAAACTGCACCATATTTTCCGATTCCATTGCAAAAGTGATGAGTGAGAGAGAAAGAGAGAGAAAGAGAGAAGAGAGAAAAGGCAATTAAAGAAACAGCTAGGAATGTTTCTCTAGTCTGAGTTTAGTGCGTTTCGTTGCAAGGTATCAAGCAAATGGTAGGAACTTCCTTTTTATAATAACGTAAAGGTAGAACTATTAAAAGCTAGTTGCAAGACGTGATTGTATCAATATTAAAATTTTGAAAACAGTAAAAGAATTTAGAATAATATTATATATAGTAGTTTATAATTTTTCTTGCGTTTGAAGTTTTTTTTTTTTTTTGGAATTGTAATATTAAAATTTAATGTTGACTGAATTAATGTATAGATTTGTATGTTAAATTTAGTCTGAAGGTATATGCTTCAAGAGATATAAAGAAATAGTGACTTTCTAAATAAATCTAACTTTTGTGGTAAAAAACAAATAATAATAATAATAAGCCTTATATTTAAATGTATCTTTTTGTTTCATTTTTTTTTCTCAATTTATCTATCAATTTGTACAAACGGTAAGGTATCTGCTAAATTTGAAAATCAAAAGGACAATTAAGTTCAAACTAAATGAGGGTATATAGTATTTTCCATTTGTTTTTGCTTTTACAGAGTACAAAAGAAATAAATTAAATCAAGTTTTTCAAATGCGAAAGTTATGTTTATAGTTTGTAAAAAAATATACGAATTCAGAATAAAATAAAACTACACATTCATGTAATTATCCTTTTCCTGTTCAAATAATACTATTATACCTAGATTGTGGATCAACCATAAAGATTTAATCTATGTCGAATTCATATGTCTAGACTCCAAAAAATTGAAAAAAAGAAAGAATGAATAGAGGAGTAAAAGTGACCGTGTCGGCCAAGAGCTATAATTAGGAGCAAAACACTTGGATTCGCCAATGCTATTTATAGTGTACGTGTCCATCAGTGAGATTTGTCACCAAATTGCATCCTAAATTTTAAAATCACAACAATTGAGGTTCAACAGCTAATAAACGTTATCAAGGTTTAATACATGAGATTAGTACATGAAAAGGCAAAAGTTATCATTTTTCAAATCATGTCACGTGTAAATTTTGTGTATTAAATTGTCAATTGAATATCACTATAGGCTCTTACACTTCAATTACTACTGATTTTAAAGTTAATGATGTATCTTGCTAATATTGAAAGTTCAGGGTCTTTTATGAAAAAAAAAATGAAATTTTGTAGTACAACAATGCTATTTAATCATTTTTTAATCCTAGTGTTTTAAGAAAACTAATATCAAAAATATCATTTAATTATTTTTGTTACTGTGATAATCTCTAATATTAATTCGGGTTTATCTGATAAAAATTTGGATTTTCTAATAATGTTGGTGCTAATTATCCCGTACATTAAGTTGTCCAACTTAATTTATTTTAGAAGATAGGCATTAATTACATTCCTGATTATCTGTTAAGCAATAGATGGTTATCGCACATCAGATTTGCGCTTAGAATATGACAATGTTTAATAGTTAGTTAACAGGTAATATGTGTTCCTCGAGTTTGAAGTTAATTTGAATGCCAAATAATGTATGTCAGTCAATTATATGACTGCGAGATCAGAGTAGTCTATCATGACGATCCAGAAGGATGAAAAATAAGCAAATTAACTATAAAATGTCAATAAATTATAAATAGTAATTTGAAGATCACTGTTAAAAAAAATGACACAAATAGAGTTTTGTGATACTTTGAATGGAATAATATTGCATTAACAATAACCCCAAATATAATATTCAGATGTTTTATCTTCAATTGTGATAAATCACCGGCCGGCCTTTCAAATGATTGTTTGATGACTTCACCTTTCATATGATTGTACACGTCACAAGCAGTACTATCAATTATCGGTTATATATATATAT